TTTCACTTAACACCAAGATGCCAAGAAAAAGAAAAGGAGTACCACAAAAAGTGGATGAGAAGAAACGAAAGTGTCTGACTTGGAATATGCATGAAGAGTATTGTCATGGCAACCACAGTGATTCACAGCATGTTGCTATGCCCATGGAACAACACATGGTTTCATTGGGTGAAACTGTTGATAACATCAGGCAAACTGAATCCAAGAACCAATCAAATGTGCCAATAGAAAGCTCTGAATATTCCATCAGCCAATCAGTGTACAGAGATATTTATGATGCATCTGATTACAGCCTGAATATTCGGTCACCTGCAAAAGACGGCGTTTGGAGTTGCATACTCGGAAAATTACTGCTCAAATTATCTCAAACATCGGATGAAAAACTGAACCAAAATATCACACCAAAGTTGCCTGATTCTGATAATTTTTTTCTATTTGTCAACAAAGAAAAGAATTCACACTATCTTGTATACAGTTGCCATGACAACAACAACGAAAACATTGGCTCAGGGGTTATTCATACATGTTTTAATGTTGAAATTGACATACCTAAATTATCTTATCTGGATGATTTGGAGTATTTACACAGTTTAAACTCAGGAAAATTATTAAAAATTGAAAAAAGTACATATAATGAAGAGAATGGTGAACTGGAGTTAAATGTCTGTCTGTACAAAGCAGGTGTGGTTGAATTGAAGTATCCATCTCAACCTGGCAGTTACAGTCGTAGATATTATCGATATTTACAGCGAATTATGGAATGGTTTTATGGATTCCCAGTTTTTGGTAAATATGTTTGTATAAATCGCTATATTTACCTGAAAGATCACCTTAGATGTTTTAAATAATGAGTCACAATTTGGAGATCACTGGGACCAAAACATTATCCAGGGTGATATTTTAGATAATGGGTCATATTTTTGAGATCACTGGAACCAAAATATTACCCTAGGTGATATTTTAGATAATGGGTCATATTTTTGAGATTAGTGGAACCAAAACATTACCCTAGATGATGTTTTAGATAATGGGTCATATTTTTGAGATCACTGGAACCAAAATATTACCCTAGGTGATATTTTAGATAATGGGTTATATTTTTGAGATTAGTGGAACCAAAATATTACCCTAGGTGATATTTTAGATAATGGGTTATATTTTTGAGATTAGTGGAACCAAAATATTACCCAAGGTGATGTTTTAGATAATGGATCATATTTTGAAGGTTAATGGAACCCAAACATTGCCCAGGGTGATTTTTTAGATATTGGGTCATATTTTTGAGATTAGTGGAACCAAAACATTACCCTAAGTGATGTTTTAGTTAATGGTTCATATTTTGGAGATCACTGGAACCCAAACATTGCCCAGGGTTGTACAATGTCCTAACTTGGTGTAAAACCAGATCGGCTTGCTCACACAATAGTTTGATCTACACTTGTTACCTAATTGTTAAAGTCATTCTATTATTTCATGGTATTTTAAATAGAATGTATCACTTCATTTCATGCTCCAACATACACACAAAAAACTTAGCAAGAAAACATCAGAATTTCTGATTGCGTCTAAATCATTCTAACAATGAACTTGAATTACATTTTTTTAGGAAAACAAGATTACCGGTAACTAATTTATTGAATGTTCATCTTTAGTGTGGTTGATACTTTTAACATCATGGGCTGTATTATCCACTCACCTTCGGTTTGTCACTTGTATCAACCGGTTCTATGAATGCGTGATATTAGATGATAACCTCATAAACTAATGCTCTAAAAGTGATGTAGTTTGTGAGTCATGTACTAAACATGTCAATTTTAAATATGCGTTTGGATATTAAATCACTTCTTCTATTTACTATATTTTTAGATATTAGTGGTAGCAAAGGTAAGAGTCAAGATATAAATGTGTTTTTTGATTATGTTTGGGATTATCATGAGAAAGAGACAAGGCTGTGTGATACCTATCCACAACATCCAAACCTACTTCCTACCTTGAGACCTTACCAGTCTAAAGCAGTTCTGTGGATGTTGCAAAAAGAGCATTATGGGAAAGAAGACACTTGTGAACAAGGTAATTAAAGTAGAGATGCTGACTTGTATAGATAGTGTTTGATCAAATTAATTTTGATCAAAACCAGGAGCCAATGAGAAATTATGTCCATGTTGTTTAAAATCAACAGGTCTGTAACTACAAGCAATCAAGGATCTATTATAACTGTGTATTTAGTGACTGACGCTATTTATACTATATGATGACATAATGATTGATTAATTTGTTTTCATAGATGATGTCCATCCACTGTGGCGTATGTTTCAAAGCAAGGATAACAAGAAATTATATTACAACATTTACAATGCAGAGTAAGTAACCTACACTATCAAAATGAACTCAGTTTCAATTGAAAATAAATTCTGATTAAAATAAATTAATTCACAGTAGGACAGTGTTATAATTATATTGGAGATAAAACTAAAATTTATTCACATATCTGAAGAATCTGCAGAAAGTTTGGTGAGTGGCGCAAAAGTTGACAGGTGGGTCACCCACCTGAAATTCCTTGTAATGAATGATTGTTCAATATACTTCAATGTGTGTGAAATGGTTACCAGGGAAATGGCCATTACCAGGGAAATGACTGACCAGACTATGCTGGTTAATGTCATTAACATTAATTCCAAAATAAATTAGATCTGTTTCTGGGCAATTCATGTGTCGTGCTCACAAGTTTTATTTTTTAAATGAAACAACGAAAAAAAAAGTTTTTCATATATGCCAGATCAAATTTCTTGATGTTTCAAATATAAAAAATAATTGTATCAATCATCTTCATTTTTTTAGAAAACTTTGGACCAGAAACAGAACTTAAGAATAAATTTTTTCCTAGTAAGACTAAAAGATGGATTGATGTTTAAAACATCATCTGTAAACCGTTTTTTTCTTCTAGAATTGTTAAAGATAAACCTTTGGTTGTTGGTGAAAAACCAGGAGGCATTCTGGCTGATGAAATGGGACTGGGTAAAACAGTAGAAGTGTTGGCATGTATGTTGCTGCATCCACGAACTGATCTCAAAAATGAAGAGAAAGAAGATGATGATGAATTTCAAAATACAGAAGAAAATGTTGCCGAGAAAGTTGAATCAAATAACCCAAACTTCTACAGTGAAAACACTGAATCCATGAACCAACAACAATCAAGAAATGGTGACACAAAACCTTGTGATGATGTCTCAAATGTTGATGTTGAACTCACTGGC